GCAATAACATTCGCTTTATTTTGATTGTTTATGCTTTTAATTATTTCATTTTCTCTGTTTATTGAAGACATTTTTAACAAAAAATTATTGTTCGTTCATATTTTTTTATTTTATAATAAAATATTTACTGATCTTTATAATTTATTTTAGCAACTTCATTGTAATGTATGATGATATTATTTAGACAATCATTAGATAAAATTCTTTGTTTCAAATTTTAGATTAATAATATAAATAAATTTATAACTACGTATTTGTCATTGTAAATATATTTGGATTTTTATTTAAAAAAATATGTATATACAGAAATAAAAATAAAAAAATAAAACTACTCTTCTTTGAAATCCTAATATCTTCCTTTGTTATCGATAACTCTACTATTTCTTGCATAAGGACTAATTATAATATTTTTAAAATTATTATTTTTAATAATTTTATATGAGCCTTGTAGCTTCCACTCTATGTTTAAGTCAGCAACTCTTCTAATTTTTACATTTATCTTTTTAATATCTAATCCTCTTCGTATTGCTTCTTGAAAGCAATATAACCTTCGATTGTCTGAAGAGTAAAAAATATCGTCTATAATACATACTTGTATCATAGGAAAATCTTCTATTTTTATCTTACCATCAACAAGTTCATTGATAGTATTTTCTATATCGTTACCCATCTGAAATATGTTATTGATAGAAGATTGAGAGAACAAAATTTCAAATAGATTAAGTTCTGTAACATAATCTCTTTCTGCTAACTTTAATTTAACTAACAAAAATCTTGTTCTATATAATAAAAGAAGACCAAATAACCAAACTAAAATTACAGAAAAGAGAGAAGATACAAGAATTAATAATAATAATATTAATTCTAATATATATTTTTCATTAACTAAAATTTTATTTTCAGTTAATGTAGAACTAGAATTAGAAGAAGGATTTTCTTCTTCGACAGCTGGTTGAGATGAAAATTCTTGACTGGAGGTCGAAAAAGTAGTTTCTTCATCCTCTAAATTCCAAGGAGTATCATCCTGTATAATATCATCCCAGTTACTTTCAGGTTCAAAATTATTCTGAACTTCTTCATATTCTTCTTGTTGTTCTTGTCGAACAACTTGCATTTCTTCAAGTTGAACAAAAAAAGATTCAACTTTCTTTGATTTTTTGTTAAAGATTTTTTTGACGAAAGACATTTTGTAAAGATTTTAAAGTTATAAAATTTGTATAATAAAAAATTTTAATGATGTAAAATAAAATATTGTCTTGTGAATTTTCTTTGACTTTTTATTTCATTCGTTAATAAATCTATAACGAGTATAAAACTTGTTTTTTGTTATCAAAATAATCTGATTGGTTCAAAAAATTTTTAATCGTTAAAATATTGAACATATGATCCTCTGATATCTAACTAATTTTAGTAATTCATAGATAATGTATGTCGATGATAAATTTTGTGGCTGAAACTTGTGATTGATCTGCATATGCAGCTGTATAAAAATTTCTCATATATATCATCGATTTTCTAATTTTTTATGATTTTTCAACTTGCTCTCTCATGATGATTTCACATTTGTTTAGGCTTCATATCAAGCATTGGCCTCTGAATACTTTGCTGTCTAAACTTATGCTCTAAGCATCCCAGCAACATTTCATGCAAAAACTACTTGATACGCAAACTATAACATATAGAATAGTAAGAAGCAAGTTCAAAAAAATCTTCTGCTACAGATGGTTCTAATATTTTTCGACCATAGTGTATTCCTCTACACTGAATGAGAAAAATAGTGTCTTTAGTTTTTTTTGAGAACAGAAATGACTTCTGTCAAAGTAATTCTCTCTAAATTTCCTTGTTTGACTAAATACAAGGAAAGATTTTCAAATAAAGACGTATGAGCTTCTCTCATACGGACTCCTAATGTGCAGAGGATGGTTAACTATGACAAATCTACATCTGGGTTATAAAATGAGTTGAGATATGAAAAGGTATATCTCTAAATTGAGCTGGTGTCTCGAGATATCTCCTCACCTGAATTCAAATCTCCTCATACAAACTTTTGAGCTGAGAGATATGCTACGTTCTCGTTCGTTCAGCTTGTTTAAACTAAAAGCATATCAAACTTTATTTAATAAATAAATGTTTTGAATCAATATATATCACAATGTTTTTTATAAGGTAAAATAATAAAATATGTATCTAAAGAATAATTGATATAAGAAATTACTAATATATTAATAATAAAGATAATAAAGATTATTTCTATATTACGAAATGTTTTTGTAGTAATTAAGTAATAAATTACGAATGCTATTGCTAATAAATATTTTTTCCATAATATAATAATATAATTAAATACTTTAAAAATTTTGTTTATATAAGAAAAATTACGATATTCCAAAATATTTTTTAATATATTTAAATAATGATCATTGATAAAATATGTTAATACTTCAAAAGTAAATGTAGAAAAGTAGTTATTCACATTTTTAGAGAATTCTGAAAAATTTGCAAGTTCGTGATATTGCAATTTTTCTAAAAGTTCACTGTTCATTACAGATAAATTGATAACTTTTTGTTTTTCATCTTTATTTTTTGTTTCTAAATCAATATTTTGACTATTTAATTCTTCTATTCGTATTTCAAGTTCATCTATCCTCTGTTTGATTTCATTATTTTCTTTTAATATTTCTTCTTTATCTGAAAGTAACTGCAAATTGCGTTGCAGATTTTCATGATTATTTTGAATCAATTCAATATTCTTTATCTTTAAGTTTTTGATTTGTTCTTTTAAAGCACGATTCTGCTCTTGAATTTCTGTTATACTTTCTTCCATTTAATATTTAATTTAAAAGAATTAAATATTTATTTATAGTTTAATAATATTTTTATAAATACAAATCATTTTTTTCCTTCACGTTAAAAATAAAGATGGGAAAAAAAAACTCCAATGGCACTCCAAATATTATTTATTATAAAAAAAGAAAAACTTGGAGATTTGAAAAAATGATTAATAGAAAGAGAACTAGAAAATTTTTCAAATCTAAGCAAGAAGCTATTGAATATAAAAATATGTTTGAAAAAAATATATAAACCTGAGTTTTCCCTCATCCTTAAATTAAATTTCCTTCAGTAAATAAACTTTCAAAACAATATTATTTTATTTATTATTATTATTTTATTCAAAATGAGTGTTGTATTTCCATCTGAAGAAGAAATCAGTAAAATGTCTAAAGAGGATCATAGATATTGTCGAAAAAAAATGAGACAATATGAAGAAATGAGAGAACAAAAAAGAAAAAGAGAATACAAAGAATATGAGATTAATAATACAGACACAAGATCTGAACGTGAAGCAAAAACTTTTGATTTCATTGAGAAAAATATAAATCTTATATTTGTAAATGATAGTCATACATTAGATAGAGAGGAAAATTCAATTTGGTCTCATCCTTCATATATGATATCTATAAATACAGATAATGAATTTTACAAAAAAATCATATTAGAGTTTAATCATATTTTAAAAATTTGCAAAGATTATGGATTTGATGAAAATAATAACGTGTGGAAAAAATATTCTAAACTCAAAGAAGATATTGAAAACTCTAATGATCCAAAGCAATATGTGATCGATTTATCAATTAAAAATAGCAGACAAAAGTTTTTACCACATTTTTATTCAGAAAATCTCAAATTCTTGATTCCAATAACAAGACTTGAATATTTTTATAGACAAATAGCAAAAGATGCTTTACAATACACTGAAACAAAATATACTGAAACCAAGCTTCCAAAATGGAAAAAGAAAGAATTTAACAAGTTCATGAATGATAAATATGATATTAAATATTTAAAATTCAGTTATAATATCAATAATCAAGGTCTTTACTATACTTTTCTTGAAGATATTAGAGAAATTCTAATTATATGTAAAAAGGAAAGGATGAAAGATTCAAATCCTGTAGTAGTAAAATATAGAAAAATGAAACAGGATATAGAAAATTCAATAGATAAAAACAAACACGTGATAAAATTATCTATATCATACTCAAAGAATTTTATATTTAATCCTTCATCTTTTAAACATAGACCTAAATTGATTAAAAGAATTTTCTTACTAGAAGAAGGATTTAAATTAGTATCAAGACAATATTTTGATAAAAAATAAATATTTAATAAATATATATATATATTTTTTTAAAACGACGAAGTCGTTTAGGAATTTCAGTATATTCTCTCATTCTTTCTTGACCAACCATACCTTTTTTTTTAAGCCAATTTTTTGGCTGTTGTGCCCAAAAAATGGTAGTTGGCGAGCTGTCGCCAAAAAGCCAAGCCGCGCAGGCTGATAGAATTAATATTAATTAAACTTATAATTATTTATTTTTTATTAAAGACTAACAATATAATATCTGTTATTATTTATTTAATTCACGTGAGGAAGTAGCGAAGCTGAAAAAAAAAAGATTAGATCAGATCTAAGAATAGATAAACTTCTATTTTGTCAAGAAATGCCAAGAGATTAATCAATCCAAATTAGGATTATATATAGTTATGACTCATCTTCTATTCTTCTAAAACAAGAATATTCTTAAAATCTTAAAAAAAATCATACGATTTTTGAAGAACCAATCAGATAAAAGATCTCTTATCTTTTAATATTTCTAATTTTAGAATGATGAGAATTTTTTGATATCATACAATTTTTCTAATCTACCAATTATAATTCAAGATCTTTATTCAGAATGAAATATAAAAATCTGATTTTTTAAGTTACAAATCTCTACAATTTGTTCGTAAAATCTTTCTTACAACTACAAATTCCTACAGATTTTTTACAAATTTTTACACAAATTTTTACAAATTTTTATACAATTCTTTACAAATTTACAAAACAAAAATGCGTTATATTTATCATTTTATTATTATATTTATTGTCCTTCTTGGACAATTTATTATTAATAATTTTGAAAAATTCGAAAAATATTTCTTAGAAATAATTATTTCAAGAAATTTATTCTTTATTTTTATAACTTTATATTTGTTATTTATAATATTCAATATTATACATTGGATATACTTAATCAAAAATTACTCACATACAATCATTTATTGATTTATAAAAAAATAAAAGGTAAGACATTTCTTACTTAGTGCTGAGATATTGTATACGCTGCTACTAGAACATATTGGTTTGATTCTGAATTCTGATCATACAATATTCGTCAGATGATCAGGTGAGGATCATATTAGTGTTCGAAGGATGTGGTGAAATTTCATAGCATTGTAGTGAAAAGATCTCATGGTTCAAACCTGTTTGTTGAAGTGGTGACGTTGTTTCATAGCATGATACAGATGTACTAATTTTTATCTTTAATAAACAAAAGATTATTAAAAAGAAGATTGCAGAGTTATATCAAGAATATAAAGAAGAAATAATGAAATTACTCAATAATAAAGAATTTTCTTGTCGAAGTTATGAAAATAAAGAAGATTAAAATTGTAATTCAGTATTAGTTAAAAAGATAAAAAAACATTTAAAAAATATATTGTTGTAAATATTAGAACGTAGAAAATTTTATTCTCAAATTTTGTAAATATAGTAACAAAATATTCATGTACTTATAATTCTTTTGTATGATATAATAAAAATCTTAAAATTTAAATTATATTGTTTATGAATTTTTTTTAAAAAAAATCGCCCAAGAATAATAGGTAAAAATTAATTAAGTTTAAGTTAAATATGTTAATCGTATAGAGTGGTTTTAGAAAATAAATTACTGCGCTATGCGCGGTGATTATTTTCAGTATTACCACTCTATACGATTAACTCAAGTTTATAATATGTTATATTAAAAATAATTACTTTTTTCTAATAATAAGTTTGATTCTGCAGGAAGTAAATCATTTTTTAACTCTTCTGTAGTAGTATACTATTATTCTATATTGGTTATACTATTTTTTTCTCCTTCTGTTTCTTGAACTTTTTCTATTTGGCTTGATTTTTCTTCGATTTTTTTGTCTACTAGTAGCTAGTTGTTTCTACTTCCATCTTTGAACTTGTCATATTATTACTCATACTACTTGTATCTGATTAGTATACTATTTCTATGTCTGATTTGCTTTTTTGTACTTTTAAATCATTATTTGCTACTATTGTATAATTAACTTTTTGTCCTAGTATGCTCTTTACTTTGTTGATTTCTTCTGTTATTGCTACTTTTTCTATTATTTTTCTCTATTCTCTAGCTACTTTTACTATATTGCTATTTACTTCTAATATTTCTACTATAATTTTATCTATATGATCTTTTAGGCTTATTACTGATCTACTACTTTCTACTATTATTTTTTTACTATATTCTTTAGTTACTGCTTCTACTAATCTAATTGCTTTTTTTCTATTTTACATGTCTATTTATTTTAGTTTGTAGTTATCAACTCTATCTATACTATATATTTTATCTATTATTTACTCTATTTAATCTAATTCTCCAACTATTAATTCAGGAAGTGACTTCATCTTTTTTTGAAATTTTCTATAGGTTTACTCAGTTTGCTTATAAGCTATTCAGTTTTGGTCCTATGTGATTTATCTCTGCTATTCAATATATAATATATATTTTAGTAATATATATATTTGTTTACCTATTTTAAACATATTTATATTATATAGCTGATCTTCAATTCAGTGTATTTTAAAATTCTCAGTTTTGTTCAAAAAAAATTTTTTTCATAGTAAATTTTAACTAAACTTCTTTTAGATCACTTTTTAAGTTAGAGTTTTCTACTTTTCAACTTTTTTGTATATAATTTTACTTTTTAAATCTTTTTTCTTAGTGTACTAAGGAGTATTATTTAGTTAGTTTAATAGTTTTTCTATGTAGTAACCTTTAGCTCAATTTTGTGATTAGATGATTTATAGGAAAAGTCTTATATCCTTAATATGCTTTTTTATTATTATTTTCTTAGAAAATTTTAGTTTATTTTTACAGAAAGCTCTTTGTTAATATTTTCTACTCTTAATATCTAATATATTATAGCAAAAATTTAAAAAAGTCAAATTATTAAGTCTACAAATACTAAAGAATTTAAAGTGTCTTGCTATTTAAATATAGTTTTTGTATAGAATGAATTAGCAAATATAATACTATATAAAACTTTAGATTCAATAAAAAAATTAATATTTGATTTTATACTTTTTTTTTATTTTTTTTATTTTTTAACAAGCTGTTTGCAGATTTTTATTAAATATTATTTTTAAATTACATTTGTTAATGAGAATACAATTAGCTA